GGAGTCAGACCCAGAGAGCCCGAGAGCCGCAGCCCGAGAGCGATCGCAGGCCGAGGGCCGCAGGCCGAGGGCCGGAGCCAGAGCGCTGCCACGGCAGATTCCAAGTGAACCCCATCAGCGATAGCGCGATCAGGAACCGCCGCTCGCCTCATGCAGCCAAGCAAAAGGGTGCTCCCAAGTCACCCTGGATGAACACTACACACTGTTTTCCTACACGGCACTGCTCTATTCACATCTCTGGAACCATGTTCAGCTTACAGCCTGAATTACTGGGCCTCTCCCTAAACACTGACAGGCTGTTTATGGGGGAACATCTCCATCACGCACACAACAGAAAGTTATGCAAGACAAAATGTTGGTTTGTCACCGTTACCACCCAGCGATGAAAAAAAAAAACCTCAACAGAAAATAAGTTTTTCTACACACATACTAGTGATTTTAACAGCCAGTCACTGTCAGAGATGGAGCTTTAAAAAGAAAAGCACAACTCTGCGAGGCAGGGAGCTGGTACCCACATGCAGCACTACAAACCACAGCTTGAGGGACTCGGCAACAAAGACCGAGCTGTTTTAGGCCTGAATGGGGAACCGGACACTCAGAGGGGCAGACACGCTCACACCATTGAACAGGGAGGCTGCCACGGGTCCCCTCTCCAGGAAGGGATGTTCTCTCCTAGTTCACGGCATGCAGTCCTCCTAAATGCTGACTCATACAGCTTTTGTCAGTAGCTAGCCAGAAGCCTACAGTACAAGCAGAATCCTTACTACTGGGAGCTCCTACACATCTGCTTCTCTGCAGCAGTTCCTCTGAAGGTCACAAGAGAGATGAGAGGTGGGTACTGCTTCTAACTGCAAACATCCCACGTGTCCAGCCTGGATGTCAGCAGCCATGCGCTCGGTACGTGTTTTGTGTGTAAGTTACGCCAGGTGAGGGGGAATCTTTTTGGTTCACATGAACTGAACCAGACGGAACCCTTTGGGTTAAGCTCTTTGGAAGAATTCCACTAGATCGAATGAGGATTAGAGAAAAGAGGGAATCAATAGGTTTAAGAGCTATGAGTGAACTGCACTATTCAAAACATTTTGGAAGTTGTTTTAAAATGAAACAGGTATTTGAGTTTATAAAATGCAAATCAGAACATCAACAGGTCATTTACTCCACAAAAAGGAGAACTGTTAAAAGATTCAGCTCAGTGAAAGCCCCTGGGAATCCAGGTCTCTCCAGGTGCAGCTGAGGTTACTACAGGTTTACTGTGAAGAGCGTTTCAGGAGAGCTTTCCCCCACCACCAGCAGCTGGCTGTCACTGGGGACCTCGGGCAAAGCGGCTGCTGTGACGCAGCACGGCTGCTCTACACAGGCCAGGAGTGAGGGCAGCTGAGCGGAAGACAGGTACCTCCTGGCACATCAGACACTCGACTGGAATCACCTCCCAGAGAGGCCGATTCTCAGCTTGCGCACTGCCCAACCAGCTTGTACCACGTTCAGAGTTCAAGAGCCGGGGGATCTGCTACTGAGCACTAGACTGTCTTCTCTCTGTTTTGGGGACGAGAGGAGCGTAAAATGCAAAGCAAGGAGAGATGTGAGAGCTCGGCCCAGGACAGGATGAAGGGTGCACAAGGGTGACGTGGTAAGACAGAAAGGATACCACTGCAGAAGTACTGGGACAGAAGGATGAAGGCATGCAGGCATCTCTGGGACATGACAGCTGAAGCTAGGTACTACAGCTCCACAGTAGCTACTTCTGCTTTATTCAACTGCTGCTAGCCCAGGGTATCATAGAATCACAGAACGGTTTGGGCTAGAAGGGACCTTAAAGACCACTGGTTGGAACTAGTTCCAACCCCCCTGCCATGGACAGGGACACCTTCCACTAGACCAGGTTGCTCCAAGCCTCATCCAGCCTGGCCTTGAACCCTTCCAGGGATGGGGCATCCACAGCTTCTCTGGGCAACCTGTGCCAGTGCTTCACCACCCTCTCTGTGAAGAACTTCTTCCTAATATCTAATCCAACCTCCCCACTTTCAATTTAAACCCGTTCCCCCTTGTCCTGTCACTACAGACCCTTGTAAAAAGTCCCCCCCAGCTTCCTTGTAGCCCCTTCAGGTACTGGAAGGCTGCAATAAGGTCTCCCCGGAGCCTTCTCTTCTCCAGGCGGAACAAGCCCAACTCTCTCAGCCTGTCCCCATAGCAGAGGTGCTCCAGCCCTCTCATCATCTTCGTGGCCTCCTCTGCACTCACTCCAACCAGTCTATATCCTTCTGATGTTGAGGATTCCACAGCTGGATGCAGCACTCCAGGTGGGGTCTCACCAGAGCAGAGTACAGGGGCAGAATCCCCTCCCTCGACCTGCTGGCCACACTTCTCCGGATACAGCCCAGGACACGGTTGGCTTTCTGGGCTGCCCGCACACACTGCCGGCTCATGTTCAGCTTTTCATCCACCAGTACCCCCAAGTCCTTCTCCTCAGGGCTGCTCTCAATCCCTTCTCCACCCAGCCTGTATTTGTGTTGTGGTGTAACACAAGAAAACCCTCAAGACAAACTCTGCAGAAGCACAACACAGTCGAAAGCAGCTCACCTGCAACCGATGTCTCCGGACCTTGCTGATCTGGTCGGCCTTTGCTTCCATCTTTCCCACCAGCGCCTCGAGTTCCCTCTCCAGATCTTCCCTCACTGCAATGGTTGGGGCTTCCCGGACAAGCTTTGCCAGCTGTTGGTGGTCACTAGCACAGAATTCAGACAGAACAAAGCTTGCATCAGACTCCCCTGGTTTCTAGTGCTTGTACACGCAGCTCAGAAGTAACCATAGCAGCAGCCAGACATGTTCAGCGTCCCACAGTGAACCAGCAAGAAGAGTTTTGCTGGTTAGCAGCATTACCCCAGCAGCACATCCTGGTGGCAGGCTGCTACAACACCGCCTTGCAACGACCTAAGCGGCTTCCAACCTCAAGACACCCATTTAAAATAACCAAACAACCCCCTGAGGGCACGATCTCAGCACTCCTTTGGTTGCTGTTTTGTGTCTATCTACTGCAGTTGTGCAGCAGAACAACAGTTCATGTTCTGTCATCCAGGACAAGCACAATGACTAGTAAATCTGTCCTTTCACAGAGTACTTGTCCGTTCCATCCAGGGGCTGTTACCACCCTTCCTACAACGTCAGTACTGTTGCATATAAACACCGGTACAGAGATCAGGCTGCTTATCGCAGTCTCTCTCGCTGCGAGGAGAGGTGACAGCCTCCGCAGCCAGCAGAACAAAGACATGATACCCTGGAGGCTTCCTAGAACTAACTCCTTTCCCAGGCAAAACCTTCCCAACTTTAAAGCCAAAGGCAAAAATATAAAGCATCTACATTCATGGAGGATACGCCAAACTCACAAACTCATCTGTCCAAATTCGTCTTGCAAAGTCAGCAACACTTCCGAGAGCTCTTCCTGGGAGGAGGAGGAGTCCTTCGGCAGAGATGACTTCCTGCTTTTGCTGGCAGGATGGCCAGTACCGACGGGTGTCGCGAGCGGAGTCTCATTGACCACACGGCTGTTACACAAAGCCTTCGTGTGTTGTTTCATCAGGTGTAGGACGTGTTGCACGTTGGCACCCACTGAATGGCTGGGGCTGGTAGACTGCAAGGAGAAGCGAGAGACTTCTTTCAAATCGCACTGTCAACAGGTAATAACAGAGAACGTTTGAAAACAGCAATATTTTAGATTTGCTGCCAAGAACGTATTTTTTGTTTCAACAAATATGCATCAATGAGAACAGCTTGACCAAGGCACAGGGAGGACCCGCTTTTTGGAAACGCCACTTCAACAAGTTAGCAATATTCCACAAGACTTTTGAAGACAAACTGGAAGAGTCAGAGAAAATGAGCAGATCTGAGCACGGGGTGTGAGGAGAGCAACGAGCCAAAGCCTCTGAAGGAGCTGCAGCTACTGAGCATTAAAGCTTTGGAATGAAGCAGCTCACCTTCCCCGCTACAAAGGGTACATCACCCAGATGCAGTCTGTAATGGGGCTGTGCAGCGAGATGGCCTGTAAGAGAGCGTTTCTGGAAGGAAAGAAGAGAGAAATGTTTGTCAGAGATGACGTTGAGCAAACCCATCTCCCCTCTGCTTTACAAGGGCCAACCTACCTTCCTGCTTGCACGCACACCTCCTTATTTCACCCCTCAGTAATCACCCTTCTCTTCCCTCCCGGTTACCTTCTCTGGCTGCTTACTCTTCTTCCTGGGTTTTCTTGCTTTTGGAGAAAGCAACGGTGATGCTGCCTGAATCAGTAGTCTGTTGGTTTCCAGGCCTGTCTGAAGCTTTAATTGAGGGAATAGAGGGAGTTACTGGAATTATATTAATAGATCAGAGACAGAAGAAACTGAAAACTGCAAAACAACCACTTTTAAAATACAGGCTCTCTGAAAGCACGGGCTGCAAGTGTGCAGGATGCTTTGGCAGCACCAGAAGAAGTTAAACATTACATAAGAATAGTTCCTCTGGCAGCACTTCTCATCACTAAAACTATTAAGTTCGACAGTTAGCCTTCCTGCATCACTGCCATGCAGGCAAGTGCCAAAACGTCAGCTGCACTTCACACTTGACAAAATATTAAGGAAGTTCGACTTCCCAAGCCTGCTCAATTGATCCCGTGGCATACAGCTAACAACTATTCCTTCTGCTCTACAAGATCTGACAGGAAACGCACACATCTACTGGAAGAGTTAAGGTCAGGATTCCCCCTGTCAACAGCGAGCTCCATAAGCTCTGCTGCTCCTTCCAGGAGGAAGCTTTAGAGGCCATTTCCCAACCAATTTCAACTGGAAGCATTCACACAGCAATTATTCATGATTAATTTGAGACACCCTCCTACCCCAAACTCATGGCAAAGGTTGATGCTAGAGCCTGACACGTTACCTACATACTTCTTCAGCATACAACCAATCTGTGAGGAACTTCAGACTTAGAGAAGAGTACACTTCAACCTTAGCAGAAGAGTAGTGCCCCTACAGGCTCAAACCCAACAGTATATTGCCTCTTTTTCTGCCTCCTTCTACAAGATTTCTAGTTACAATTATAAACAAGGTAGTACACTTGCTGAGCTTGATCCATTTAAAGCAGAGATCCTCATTTTTCCTCATCTATTACTCCTCTCTTCTAACTAGCTTCTTTGATTGAAGAAATCAAGTTTCAGTGCACCAGTGCTGTTAGAAAAAGGTTTTCAGAAAGCTCAGAGAACTTCAGAACATTTGGCACCTCAGACAGGAGGGGAAAAAACCCAACTCCTAAACCAAGGTTTTCAATATTCTGTACATGGGAGACATTTTCAGCAAGTTGAGGTGAAAAGTTAATGGAAAGGAAGAGCTAATTACAATGCGTACCAGTACAAAAGAAATTTCCTGTTGGTTACCTCAGCTGCTTTTTCCTGAACAAGCTTCCTCGCGTGTTCTTCCTCCTGAAGCTTCTGTTCCAGCTCTTTCATTTTTTTCTGGTCCAAGTTGAATGAAAATAAAAGCATTATTAATGAAACAACACTTTGTTTTGTTTGTTTTTCCCCAAAGCCTACAATACGAAGAGCTTGAGCAGAAGTTTACCAGTTCAACTTACAACTCGATGCTGAGCAAAGTCGTCAGCATTAGAGCAACAGCTGAAGTTCTGTCTGCATGGGCATAAACACAGCAGACAAGTGCTTGTGCTTAGAACCTAACTGATTTTTCTATTTTCAATTCCAAGACTGGTATGTGAATTTAGGTCGCAGCCCGCAAGGAGAGCAATACACAAGGCTCTTTCAAAAAAAAACCTGAAAAATATTTGTGTACACCATCCTGGAAGATTTTGCACTGCAGAAGGCCTAACAGAGGTACATCAGGTACCATTATAAGCTGAGATAAGACTTGCTTTATTCAGACTACTAGAGGCACTTTTGCTAATATTCTTAACTTAAACTCTTAGAAGAGAGGAACTTCTGAGCACCTAGCCACCTTCTTAGTACAGAAAAGGGAAGAAAGTTTACACGATGGCCCCGAGAGACCTCTAAGAAAAATTGAAGCAATTTCATCTTGTTATGGCTAAAACCATGTAAGAACTGTTGAAAGCCCTTTTTGAAGAAAAGGGTTAAGGGGAAGGCACACTTTGCTCTGTAAACCAACAGGACAAAACCTTGTTTAAGCAGGACACACTTAAACTCCCAAATGAAAGCTGTTAAATAACTTTATGATTTTTTTTATATCAGAGTGAAAAAACAATCCACAGCTCCAGGACACAAAACAACATCCTTTCTTTGCCCCCAGAGACTGATCATTTACAGAGCCACTAATCAAACTTCGGGCAGTAAAGCATGCAGTTCAACGTAACGGTTATATTTGTAGACCTCTGTTTACAAACCCACTACACTGAGAAGTGAAACAGGGAGTAAACATGTCAGTTCTGCCTTACATAAGCATTAACTGCACAATTAACAGAACCAGCTGTTATACAAGGGTGTTAAAAAGGCAAAAACCCAGATAAACACTGAGGACAAAGGCACTATATATAGGAAACAACTTTTTCTGTTTAATAAAAGTACAATTTTGAGTAAATTTCCTTCTTCCCATTCAAAAATCAGATATATTCCAGGTAACTTAAAATCATCCTCCACCCTTTACAGCCTCTGGCACAATTCTTGATTTCTGTGTGATCAGTCACACAAAGATCTCTGTTTAACCTGTGTTGTGGTTTAACTCTGACTAGCCAAATCCCACGAAGCCGATCTCACAAATCCCCCTCCCCTCCTCCAGTGGAGGGGAAGAATCGGAGGAAAAAGAAATAAGGAAGCCCATAAAATTGAGATAAGAACTATTTACTAATTAAATCTAAATTAATATCTACAAATACTACTAATAATAAATAATTAAAACAACAGAAAATAAAACATATGATACAATATGATACAATTCCTCCCCACCCACTGACCGATGCACAACAGGTGCTGAGCAGTGGGAGTCAGACCCAGAGAGCCCGAGGGCCGCAGCCCGAGCACTGCCGCGGCAGATTCCAAGTGAACCCCATCAACGATAGCGCGATCAGGAAAACTAAACCCACCAACTTCCTCAGAAAGGGGCCAGCACAGGAGTTAGCGAAGAAGCTAACGCAGGAGTCAGGAGAGGGTTAGCAAGTGTACAGGAGCGAACGAGAGAGAGTCAGGGAGATAGAGTAATGGCTCCCGGACCCCCTCCTCGCCTCTGCCCCCAGCATGATGTATTATGGCATGAAATACTCCCTTGGTCAGTTGGGGTCAGGTGCCTGAACTGTGTGTCCCAGCACTGCCTGTAGCGAGACCGCGAGAGCTGGGAACGCAGCTGCAGTGTCAGAAGCAGAGAAAGACCTTGAATTCAGTGCAGGCATTGCCCAGCGCCAGCTGAGAACTTATCAGTGCTGCTCCCTGCATCCAGGAACAGCTTCCTAGCAGCCACGGTAAAGAGAGTTAACCCTTTCCTGGCTGAATCCAGCACAACCTGTTATGTGTGACAGAATTTTTAACACAAATACTGAAGCAAATCTTTTGTTTGAACTGAAGACAGACACGAGGCTGGGCCAATACTTCCGTACTGAAATTGAGTATTCCCTTAGCCGCCTGCTTGAGCTGCGCACTGGAGCTCAACTGCACCGCCATAGCGTATCTTGTGTCCTCAGACCCTGCTGGAAGTTTCTATCCAGGTTATATTTCCAAAAGACATTTTTTTCCTTGCTTATAGAAAAAAGTATTACGCAATCCATCTTCCAAGCTCAGCCATTCCTGGGGCAGACGCAGATTTCTGGTCCATCAGCATAAGGGAGCAAGCCCAAAGGGCCAGACAAGAGTGAACGCAGGTGCTCCCCAGCCACACTGCCCATCCCGTGAGGTAGCACAGCGCAGAAGGGACACTGCAGGTCTGCACCGGGCTGACTAAAACATCACTCAGTTGCCACTAACCGCCACACAAAAAAACCCACTGAAAAAATAGAAATTAAATTATTCAACACCTATTTTTGTCCGTTTTCAAAAAGAGATTAAATTTCATGTGTCCACCTCACCTACCCTTCTGGTTGTCACTGAAATAAATTGAACCAAAGACAACAGAAGGACATCAGACCCCAAAGATCCCTAAATTTCCTAAAAACTAGCTACTGGAATAAACATCCAAATTAGAGAGGAAACATCTCCAGTGTGCACACAGCCTTTACCTCTGTGCTTCCATTGAAAATTAGCACCTGCTGGGAGCTGAGCAGCCAGCATATACCCAGCTGAAATGGGCCAGATGTTGCTTCTTTCCATCTGGCAATTAGAGGACAGAGGGAAAACCAGAGGTGTAGGTACAGCCACAAGAGCATGCAAGGGTTCCTTACTCCTGCTGTTCACAGAATAGGAGGGGGTTTTGAGTCTCATTGTTAGCATTAAGATCAATTACTACCAACTAGAGTTCTTCAAAAGTGTCATCTACACATACATTCAAATTCTGTCCACACACAAGACCACTGCCCAAACTGTACCTTTAGGGAACAACTCTGCTCCCTTACTCCATCTTCAGACTTACAAAGAGAATCATGGAATGGTTTG